CACGTCTTGGCGGGTCATCCAGGGACGAGGCCTGTTGTGTTCCTTCAGAATCATTTCTGAGACACAGACACATACTCTGCACCCCTGAGATGTGCACGGGTCCTATTTCCCCATGCAGCCGGCCTCCACATTGCTCTGAATTTGTATCTGTCCCAACAGCCCCTGGTCCCCAGTTCCCTGACCAGTCATCTCTGCTCTTGTTCTGTCATTGGCACTTAGTAGGCACCTGTTCTGGGCCAGGACAAGGGCTGGAGGCCCCTGGTGCCCTCATTGCCGGTGTCCCCTCCTCTGCACAGCCTCTCAGAGCATCAGGACTGTCCGTTGATGCACCCTCCAGTCTGTCTGTTTGTTTATGATGGACAACCCTGGTGCAGGGCTCATACGTGGTCCCCAGCTCCCAGAACTAAGTGTTTCCCACAGTAGGTGCTTAATAAAGGGGGGCTGGGCGGAACAGAAGTGACCACGCCCCTCCCAGGGCGCCTCATGCCTCCAGTCACATCCTGTCCCCTCCATCCTGCTCCAAACAATCATCCTTCCTTCCTCTTCTTCTTCCTCCTCTTCTCCTCCTCCTCCTCCTTTTGAGACAGGTCTCACTCTGCTGCCCAGACTGGAGTGCAGTGGCATGATCACGGCTCACCGCAACCTCAAACTCCTGAGCTCAAGCCATTCTCCCATCTCAACCTTCCAAGTCCCAGGTACTTTTAAAATTATCTTTTGTAGAGATGGGATCTCACTAGGTTGCTCAGGCTGGTCTCAAACTCGTGGTCTCACGCAATCCTCCCTCTTCAGCTTTCCAAAGCACTGGGCCAGTTTCCCGTTTCTTTTTCTTTCTTTCTTTCTTTTTTTGAGTTGGAATCTCACTCCGTCACCCAGACTGGAATGCAGTGGCACACTCATGGCCACCCCAGCATCGACCCACTGGGCTCTGGCGATCCTTCTGCCTCAGCCTTCCAAGTAGCCAGAACTACAGGAGCGCGCTACTGCGCCCGGCTAATTTCTGATTTATTGTAGAGACGAGGTCTCACCAAGTTGCCTGGGCTGGTCTCGAACCCGCGGGCTCAGGCAATTCATTCACCTTGGCCTCTCAAAGTGCTGGGATTATAGACTGAGCCACTGAGCCCAGCCCAGCTTCCCATTTCTAAAACCTGACAGTCAACCCATCAACCTTGACTTCCTGGACTTCAAGATTGGGCTCTACCCTGCCCTCCCAACTCATCTCTCAGACCCCACCTCCAGAAGCTTCTCATCACACCCTGCAGCCTCCTCACTAGCTTGTAGGTCCTCATGTTTCAGAAACACAGAGCTAGAAGGGATCTTGAAAAATCACTGGGGAAACTGAGGCCCAGAGAGGGGAACTGGCCCGTCCAGGGTCACATGGGGGCTTATTGGCAGAGGTGTCAATGAGCTGTGGGTCTCCCAGGTCCTGGCTCCAGGTGGCAGGAAGCCCGGGATCCCTCCCGGCAGCCCCACTCTCTAACCAAGAAAGGGTGACCGTGATGCCCCGCCACCCGGCTTTGCGGAACAACTTGCCTCCGGGTTGAGGGAGGGTGGCGGGGGCTCACAGCAGAAGGATCAATTTTCACCACGTGAGAAGCAGCCAGAGCAGGAAACGCTCTGGAACATTTGACTGTGACACGTGTGTGGGATCCAGAGCCCCGCAGCCCCTGGAGGGAGTGGGGAGGCCTCGTGGGGAGGGCGGCACCAGCAGCTCCTTCCACCACGTGGAAAAGCTGTTCTGAATCACACGGTCCCAGGAACAATGAATCATAGTCACCAAACCCTAGGAATAATGGATCTGAGAAACGAGGCTTCTCGAAAGGCCTCTTCCCTCGGCTTCCAGGACATCTGCTCTGCCGGCTTCCTCCGGCCCCTCCGCTTGCTCCGCAAGCTCTTCCCGCCTGGGCACCACCCACACCCTCGGCATGTTGTCCCCGAGCCATTCCGTCTCCTCCCGGGGCTTCAGACCCCAACGCCACTGAAGCCCCTGAGCCCCGTGTGTGCAGTCAACAAACACTGAGCACCGACTCCGTGCCAGGTGCTGTTGGAACTCCAGGATACAGAAGGGACGGATCGTTAAGGATCTGGCCCCATGAGGCATATTATATTCTGGTAGAGTAGGCAGAGAGAAAAAAACAAACACATAGATCAGTCACATTGGGTAGTGATAAAAGCTATGAGGAGAGGGTAATGGAGAGAGTGACAGAGCCTGGGAGGCCCCTCTGAAGAGGTGACAGACAGACACGTAAATGGAGTGAGAAAAAGAGTCACACACTCTCTGCAGAAAAGGCCACCCAGAGAGGTGCCAGCAAAGCCCAGATGGGAAGAACAGCGGGGCCAGGGGACCTGGAACAAGGGCTGAGGCCAGTGTGTGCATGGTGGGGGCCTCACGGAGGGCCTTCAAGCCATGGTGCAGGTCACAATTTTGTGGAAACGCGATAGGTCGGAAGCAGGTTTTGTGAAAGATCCCTCTGGCTGCGGTGCTGTGGACAGACTGGAAGCAGAAAGAAGTAGCAGATAGGCTGGACACGAGTGGACGGTGATGGTGACAGAGGCAGAGGGGACAGGAGGGCCACGGTTTGGGATATGCTGAGAGCATTGCTGAGGAATTAGACACAGGGAGTGAGAGAATGAGAGGCGTCGGTTGACCCAGGGAAACGGCAGCTTGGTGGGGACATCAAGAGTGTGGCTTGGGCTGGGCTCGGTGGCTCAGCCAGTCATCCCAGCACTTTGGGAAGCCGAGGCGAGTGGATTTGCCTGAGCCCGTGGGTTCGAGACCAGCCCAGGCAACTTGAAGAGACCTCGTCTCTACAATAAATCAAAAATTAGCCAGGCATGGTAGTATGTGCCTGTAGTTCCAGCTACTTGGAAGGTAGAGGTAGAAGGATCGCTGGAGCCCAGCAGGTTGACACTGGGGTGGCTGTGAGCATGCCACTGCACTCCAGCCTGGGCGACAGAGTGAGACACCAACTCAAAAAAAAAAAAAGAATGTAGCTTGGACGTGTTGGTTTTGAGATGCCTTTAGACAGCCATACGTGAGAACCGAGTTCAGGTGAAGGGTTTCCAGGCTGGAAGCAGTGCGAGGTGCCAGAGTCCCAAAGGGGCTCAGAGCTCTGGCACGGGGGAAGGACCACCGGTCATGCAAGAGCACACAGAGCAGGCTCTGCTGGATTCCTCTCTGGCTCTAGGCCTGGCAGGCGACAGCTGTAAAACAGGAACAAACGTGCACACATTTTGGGGCTCCTGAGTTCATCACACACTTCAAAGCCTGAGAGAGAAGCTGGAGGTTTCCTGGAGCAATGGAGGGAGTGGTAGCTTGACAGCACTGATGGCCCCAGTCAGGGGGTTCCTTTTGCCTTGTAGCATTGCAGTCCCCTAACACCTGAGTCTGGGCTTGGCCACATGACTTGCTTGGACCAAGAGGATATTAGTGGACTTGCCCAGAGCAGTGGTTCAAAAAAACACCTGCATGCTTCTATTTCTTCTCTTGCTCCTCCGCCTATCTGACAAGGAAATGCCCAGGCTAGCAGTCTCCTGGAAGCCCATCACCACCATGAAATAATCCAGGCTGACTGACTGGAGCATAAAGACCATAAGGAGTATGGCTGAATCATTGCTGCCAAGGCCATCCTGGACCAACTGTTCCCCCAGTTGCACCTCCGGCTGTCTAAAGACACATGAGTGAGCTCAGTTCAACTCAGTGGTAACTACCAGCTGGCCTGCAGACTTGTGGTTGTCATTTTAAGTCGATAAGTCTTGGGTTGGTTTGTTACACAGCAGTAGCTAGCTGATACAGAATGTGAGTTTCTTCAGAAAGCAGAAGAGATGCTGTGTACGGGGCATCCATTCCCACGAGGAAGGAGAGGAATGCTTCTTTCTAACTTTAAGCCAAAAGAACTACTCAGAGACGTTGGCTTGTGTCCCTTAGGATTTGAGGAATGTGGGGGCTGGTGCTTGAGTCATGTCCAAAGGCTCTGGGAAAAGCCCGCCCTTCCAGCGAGGACATGCATGCTTTCCATGGGCCCAATATGGACCTTGCAGAAGGACCCCTGCCCAAGAGGGTCACCCAGAGGGGTAAGGTGACTCCAGCAAAGGAGCTGACCAGAGGTCAGTAGAGGACATTGCAGGCAGTCAGATGGAAAAGGGGCTACTCAAGTGAGGGGGATAGCAGGCGAGAGATATGAGACCCCAGGAAAGTACCCCTGAAGGAACATGCCAGGGAGCACTCACCCAGCTCCTCCTTTCCTGGTCTAGGAGGACCTTCCTAGGCTGCCCCTCCCTCTCTCAGCCCTGAGCAGGTGGAAGAAGAAAGAGGGACAAAAATTCACCACGATCCTCTGCCCACTGCAGCGTTCCCAGTTTGAGGCAGATCCAAAAGGCTAGGACAGGCTTAGTTTTAAACTGGGTGAGTCTGGAGTTTTAATGTTAGACGGGACTGGTCTTATATCTGCAATTGACTTGAAAGTGAAATTGACCAGAAGGATTCACAGAGCAGGTTTCGTGGGACGGCCTGCTGAGCCCAGTAGACTTCCCAATGAGGGACTTTTCCAGCCCCTAACCCAGCCACCGTGCTCCTCACTCCATACACTGCCCTGGGCGAGACCCTCTGACACCAGGGTCACATCTGACCAGTGATCTCCAAACCTCCCGTCTAGCTCACACCCCCCACAAGATTCAGAGCCACTGGCCAACCATCAGCTAACATCGCCCTCAGGGTGTTCGTACCTGCTCCGGGACCATCCCATGGCTCGGTGGCCACACCCCCATCCACTTGGAAGCTTGAGCCAAAAACTTTCATGCGAGGTAATCAGCACCCCCACCTGCTCCACCCTCACCTCCGTCCCGCCCACCTCCTGAGGTTCCCTCTGGAGCAGCCCTGCCATCTGGCCCTTCCTCATCCCCGTGGCCACCCCCCTGATCCCATATCCTCCCATCTTTTCCACAGCTCTGCTCCACGGCCAGAGTGAGCCTTCTGAATTGGACCGCACCACTCCTCTGCTTATAACGGTGCCCTGCGTGGTCCGGCCGCCCAACCAAATTTTCCGGCAGCCCCTCACCCCTCATGCTCAAGTCACACTGGGTGGGCTGGAACTCCTCCCAGCGCCATTCCCTGCAGTGTGGGACCTTTGCTCAGCTGCCCTGGCCCCAGGAGGCCCTTCCTGCCTCCCCTTCATCCCATCCGTCAGGCTACAGCAGCAGCTTTGCTGCTCAGCAACTGTCTTTGCCCCCACCCATGCCCCACGTCATCCCCGTCTACTCGTGTGTCTTCCTCTCCGGTGAGACTCTGACTGCTCCTCCAGGGTAGGGGCCGCACCTGAGTTTCCTGTCCAGGGCCCAGCACAGAGCCGGCCCTGATGTGGAGCGAGGGCATGAAGAAGAGGAGGGGGAGCCTTGGGGAAGGGGGTCCAGGCGACTTGTTGCTGGGTCTGTCGCGCTTTCCTGGGAAGGAGGGCTCAGGTTTGAGAAATGTGGCCACTCAAGCTGACGTGGCCAAGACATGGCACCACAGGGCAGAAGGCACGGTCCTTGTAGTCAGACAGGCCTACCTGAATCCCGGCTCCAAAACCTACCTACTGGACGACGTGGAAAGTCACTCCACCTCTTTGAGCCCCCTTTCCTCAGCTGTAAAAAAGGAACCACCTGACCGGGTTCAGTGACTCAGCCTGTAATCCTGCACTTTGGGAGGCCGAGGTGAGTGGATTGCCTGAGCCTGCGGGTGTGAGACCAACCCTGGGCAACTTGGCGAGACCTCGTCTGTATAATAAATTTTTAAAAATTAACCGTGTGTGGTAGCGTGTGCCTGTAGTTCTGGCTACTTGGAAGGCTGAAGTGGAATCCAGAAGGTCAATGCTGGGGTGGCTGTAAGCATGCCGCTGTATTCCAATCTGGGTGACAGAGACTCCAATTCAAAAAAAAAAAAAAGGACCACCCACCAGGGTGATCATAGCCTCTGCACCGCCTGTGTCACCAGGAATCATCAAGAGCAGACCCTGGGCGCCCCAACCCTACATCCTATCCTGCCCACCAGGGGCCCTGGCAGGGCAGGGCCAGGCCTGGCATTCTCAGTAGGGTGTTGGTGGTGAGTTACCGAATGAGGTCCAGCAGAGCGTCGGCCGAGCTCATGATGGGCTTCCCGCTTTGCTCTGTGGTCTCCTTCTGGGCCGCGCCACCCGGATGGATGATGGAGACCATGAAGATGCCCACGATGACAGCCATGAAGGTGGTCCATAGGTAGTATGCCACGGTGAGGATGCCCAGGCGGCTGGAGGTCTTGGCATCCAGAGAGGCGAGGCCAGACATCAAGCTGGGAGGGAAGGGTGGGTCAGAGTCTGTGGGTTGCGAGGCCTGGGCCTGGCCAGGCACTCAGAGCCCATTCCCCCCCACCCAGTCCCCAGCCATGCTCGGCACCCTCACAGTGCTCCAGGGCCCCCTCCTCATAACCCAGGCCCATGATTCCTTCTAGGTTCTCTTCCTGCTCCACCCTCTCCCCGATGCCCAGGGTTGCCTGCCAAGCATGTTCACCTCGAGCCTTGGCAGCTGTCGTGCCCTCAGTTTGTTGTCCTAGAAGCTTCCTGCACTTGCCTGACTCCCACCCCCTAGGAAAGATGGAGCTCAGGTTCCCTCTTTGGTCCACTTGCTTCTCTTCCAGAGTTAGAAGCCCATTCCAGGGTTCCCACAGCCCCTAGGCCCTCATCATGACCCTGGTTATCACTGTTTACGGGTTCATCTCTCGCCAGAGTGAGGGCCTGTGAGAGGAGGAACAGGCCTGACTTCCCCTTGGGTCCCCCGTGCCCGGCCGGAGCAGATGGTCATTGCAGGCTTGCCAAACAAATAATGTGTGAGTGAGAGCACCAGACTGGGAGTTGGTGACCCAAGACCTGGCCGAGCTCTGCCCACCGACCATGGGACCGCCCGATCGGGGTCCTCATCTGTACAGTGGGGCCATGAGAGTCACCCCTCCCTGACAGGGGCCACCCTGGGCCATCCTGGATGAGCACCCGGGCCCAGACGCCCTCTTGTGGGAGGCTGTGTGAAGGGGCCTGGGGGTCTCCTCTCAACTCCTCCCCGCCTCGGGCCACTCTGCCCCGGGATCTCTGCCCACCAGCGAAGGTCAGCCCAGAGCCCAGAGCCCAGAGGGCCTCTTCTTGTGGCTGTAGTGGGGAAGGGTTGAAGGGTGAGGGGAGTGAGCAGGAGATTAATTAAGGAAATGCTTGTGTTTTGCTGCCAAAAGGATTTTTCCCCAAAGCCCTTTCATTCTTTCAGATAAAGAAGTATTTGTCTGGTTTTAATCATGTAAACAAGAGCAGATAATCCCTTGTCCACGTTCCTCTTATCATTAGGCTTCACACGGCAGCATCCAGTGTGGGGCTGAACACGATACCCCCCTGCCCCTTCCCAGGCAGGGCCCAGGCCTGAGTGCCCTGCTCGTCCCTGCTGGCTGCAGCAATGACTGACTCTCCTCTTAAGACACATTTTAAGGGTCCCCTCCTCCAGGAAGCCTTCCCTAACCACCAGGCTGAGTGAAGGGCCCTTCCCTGGGTTCCCACAGCTCCTGTACCTCCCTCTGTCCCATCTCCTACTTCACTGGATCTCTGACTGTTTCCAGGAAGCACCTCCAGGGCTGGGCTGTGTTCTGATTCAAAGCTGGGTCCACAGAGCCAGGCCCAGGCCTGGGCCAGGGCATGGTTTGGTAGCAGCCTTCTGAGTGAAGGAGTGAATGAATGAATGAATGAATGAATGAGCTGGTGTTTCCAGTCTCTGCTCATCCTCATCTGCCAGGATGCCATATGCTAGTGATGGGCTTAGGGTGGGTCTTAGACATAAATCCTGAAGGGCTCGTAATGGGATTGTGCAGCCAGAGGAAATGGGGGGCGGCCCTGCGGTCATTACCCAAGACGGAGATTATCCCAGTCAGGGCCGGCACATCAGCCCGGTCTCATGGCCCTCCCACCACAACACAAGCCCCTGCCACCAAATCCCACCGCCTCGGGCCATGGG